TTTATTCAAGTAGTAAATACATATTTTTTAAATTTTGATATAATTTTGTACGAGTATGTTGCAGTCTATGTAAACACTATATACCTACTACTTAAATTTAAGCAATTAAAAAAAACATCTACCTAAAACAATTTATTTTTATGTACATTTGTACAAGTACTATAAAAAATAAACTGAAATCTATAAAAACAATTTTAATAGCCCTTCATTGTGGTTTTTTTTTATCCAGAATAAAAGAAAGAAAATAAAAAAACCCAAAGCACTAAACGTTTTCTGTTGTTATTACCAATTCAAGAGTGTAAGGCTATAATCATTCTAGAGGATTCTTTAATTACCAACAAAACAATAATCAAAAGATTTTTTTCCCCGCATAAAATTGCGTATTTTGCGCCATTTTAAAACCAGACCAATCAATATAATATTTTATATAAATTATAGGTATGGTACATCCTTTATATAACGTTAAATGTATATGCATATGTTTTAATATGTATATATATATTATCCATTCATTTTACATTCCCGCATCATTACGGAACCGCACTAAGTACACAATTTTCAGTTAAACAAAATGGTAATTAACTGCTTTGCTAATTAATCTGGGGAGTCTATTCATTTGGGGTTGAAAATTTTATAATGACTTCATCATTGTCATCGCTATGTTGCGGAAATGGTTTTACGCTATTGTTATTTTAGGTATAAAAACCTAAATATACATTATTGTATATAATTATGTATACTTTTATATAAATAGTGTGTACTGAACGGGAGTATAAAACAAGGGGCAATATAGATTATGTATGTATGTATATACGCGTATAATGGAATATGAGTAGATAACATACCTGTATATTATAAATAAATACACCCATGTACAATATTATTATGCAGAATGTATATTATTATGTATGTATATATTATTTTATTATAACATGTTTCAACAGAGTATAAATTAGCGGGAATTTAATTTCAAGAATATATAAATGTATTTGTTTTTAAATTAAAGGTGGAGATTTTGTTCATCTAATATTTATATATGAGTTTGAAAATATTTGAGTTTGAGGGTGGAAAAGGTGGTGTTTCTTTATTTATATTTTGTTTTAAATTACATATTATGAATATATTTTTATATACGTATAGAGAACGAGAAGGAGGCAGAGAAGTATTATGATCTAATGAGTTATTTTTTAAACATAAATTTTTTGTAATTATGATGCTTTAGTACGTACTTGTTAATTTCAATCCTTAAAGTGTTTATACTTCTAATAATTATAATATTGTTTTAACATATACACGGCTATACGTGTTATATTATATAAATCTATATGAGTACATTATTCTGATGTTTCTCAGAGTTTACATAGGTGTATGCAAAAAGTGTACGTGTGTATCATACGTAAATAATTTTAAGTATTTCACATAATAACATGATTTGCTATAGAAGTGACGTACACGAACGCACAAATGGTATGTACGCATATTATTATACAAAAAATAAACATTTGTATGAAATATTAAAAAAAAACATTTAAAATTTATGAATTAGCTTTTTTGTTAAAATAAAAGAAAATTAGGATGAAATAATAAAATTTTTTAAAATTTTTTAATTAAAGAATTTTTTGGAAAAGGTTATGAGTTTTCATCTATACTACATGAATCAATTTGATAATATTTTCACTTTCAGAATTAGCTGCACGGTCTGAAAAAGTAAAATTTTTCAACTAAAGTTAGGGAATAAAAACCCTCGAATCGGAAAAGTATAGAAAGGTAAGAACATCAGATATTAGGAAAAGCAGACAGTGACCTGAAGAACGCTATAGATGAGGAACAACTCATTAGAACACTAATAACAAAGTTTAATAAAAATAAGCGAAAAAAGTAAAGTTCTCATTAACAATGATTCGGGAACTGCCAAAAATACCACATTATGTATTTATATAATACATTTTGTGGTATTTTTGGCAGTTCCCGACTCAAAATATCGAAACAATGTTATAAAGATATTAAAAAATTAGAATATAATTAATATCAACTGTCGCTTTAAGTGTATAAACAAAAGCCGATCAATTGGAATTGGATTATTTATAGTATCTTACAATAAAAAATTACTAATATCTAATTGCCTTCAACTTACTTATAAAGTGGAAAACAGAACCGATGTCTAATAAATTAGAATATTAAATGCGTTATAACTGATGTTGATAAACTATATTAAAGGTAAAAATTAAAAGTGTAAATCTCGTAGTTAATTATAACTCAGATAGAATCATTCTGTGTACAAAGGTTTGATTGCAATAAAAAATTTGTCAGTTTTATTGCGAACCTCATTAAACCAAAGCTAAAAATTTCCATTTATGTTTGTGTTCATCTTCCTTCACTTCAGTTTACTCACTATGTTCACATCGTCTTTCTTTTTCACAAACTAAAATTACAGCTTGGTTGTTGTGAAAATTCTGTTGTCGTTTGTAACTTCTTAGTTTTTGAGATGAAAATTCAAAAGTAAAAAGATGAAACTGAAAAGGGCTACAGTAAGACAAACACTATAACATTAATCAAACTTTACAGAAAGAAGGTTATGTATAAATGTTTAATATAAGTGTAGTATAGGAATGTTATATTCCTTGTAGCTGCCCTACAAAAATGATAAACATGTCTTATAGACTGCGAAACATGTTTGTGCAAAATTTTAAAAGATTGTGAATATTAGATTTAGCTATCAGAGGCACTGATTACTATATAAAGTAACGACTTGGGGTAGTATTAGGATAGCTACATAGAATATGAAACTGCAACGATATGCCTAAATAAAGGAGAAGTATTTAAAGTTCTGTGAGGCGCATAAAATATTATCATATTGTCTCCGATTGAATAAATGTCCAGACCTGACATTTTTATCACGAAAAGATTTGCTGGAAGCAAATTTACCGTTCATAACAACCTCATGTTGAATAGAAATATAAAGAGCGAAATAAATCTAAAATAAAATTGAATGACTGAATTTTATCTGCATAACAATCTGATTATAAAAACTAGTTTTTGAAATATTTAAATTTATCTTTTAAAATTGAATGGTAGCGGCTTCCTAACCAGTACAGGTATTCAATCAGAATTTGCGAAATATATAATCAAATATTGTAATTTTACATATGTTTGTAAAATTTCATATTAATAACTTTATTTGAAATATTGTAAATAAATTTTTTGAGCTGAGCTACATGAACCCGTTGTTTAAATTGATTTGCGGTGGTGATATAGTTTCTGAAAATTTGGTTTTTTTCGCTTTTGAGCTATTATGCAATAGGAAAGAAGGAGTTAACGGCGATTAAGAATGTATATTCATGTTCATATTGCACTCATTTACCTTGTTACGAACTCTATATTTGTAAATATTGACTTAATCATAGTGTAAGGTATAATATCTTGAACATTCCCGCCTTCTTCTTGGTAAATCTTACACTTCGTTTGCCAAATGGAAAAATAGATGCAATTTTGTAATATTCATATTCTTAATGAATATGAATATCTGAAAAATTTTTACTTAAAGTCTATCTCGGTTGGAAAAAATAATGCTCATTTAATTTACAACAAAAAAATTGCAAAAATTGTAAGTTTGCAACCTACATTTTCTTTAAATTATTTTCTTTTCTATTTCTCAAAACCTATGAGCCGTATTGCACCAGCCACTTTTTCTTTTGCTTTTACTTTTTAATTTTTTAAAAAATACTTTTTTTATTGGAACAAATACCTAGAACTTTGATTCTTGATGCAATAAAAAAATTTAGCAAATGTTTGGGTGCAAAAAGTGATTTGTGCAACAGAGAGCCAGGTCTTAATTTTATATATAACAGCGATTCTTAGTTTTAAATATCATCTAACATTGCACACTTTCAGGAAAAAATAAAAAACCGAAAACAATCTTGCGGAAACAATAAAAAATACGGTGGCATTAATTTGACTATGTTAATTCAGAATAATTGACTAATTAAATAGTGAAGTTGGCTATTCTTGATTTGCTGTTTGACATAATATGTATAAGTATATTATGTTATTTGTTGAGCAACGTGGCATATATATAAGCAGTTCCAATACGTTAATTGCACCATTTCAACGATTGTATTTGCTTTAATACCGCGTAAAATTTATATCTGTTCCTTATAAGATCAAAATAAGTAGAAGAGTAGGTTTAGTGGTAGTTATACAAAACGTTATTCCAATATTTTTGTATTTTGTAGGAACGCGGATTGACAACCCGTTAGGTATTGTTGTGTTTAAGTTGTATTGTCTTTAGGCCATTATTCTTTAGTTGTGAACCGTTACTTCACGAACCACATTCTTTAAGCGCAATATAATTTTGTTCTCAAAATTCTCAAATTTATTTATGTAATTTAACAAAATTTGGATTAAGTTTAATATTTGCAAAATATAATTTTTAATCAAACAGGAAAATAAAAGAGTGAAATAAAAACCAGAAGTGAAATAGAACTGAAAGCCACATACCACACCCATTGATATCAACCTTTATATTTAAATCTGTAATAAGTTGGTACATTTGTTTCTTTTTTCATCAAAAAAACAATTGTTGTATAACTTACTTTTAATTTAATTTGAGATATTGAATAGAGCACTACCATTGGATTCGCTAGTACGAGTGTATTAGATTAATTACAACCTGATTGAAAATTTACACAATATATCCAAATTCAAAGAGGCAGTCAATGTTTCTTTCAAGAAATTCAAGTATATTAACCGATTTTTAAAACATGATTAGCAAAAATTAGCTTTTCTTTAGCTTTATCCCTAACTTTTTTATCAGAATTTAGATTAAAAAATTATAAAAATTAAGCTGACTTTGATCAACAATATAATTCATATGAATAATTTTATACCACTTTTGGGTTAAACTTCAAGCACTTCAACGGTGTTCGGTCTCATTTAATTCTCCTTTAGAGAATTTTATTACAATAATAAATTAAAATATTAAATTACTATTATAAACTTACCAGAATTAATGTCACTATGTTCATCTTCAATTTGTTGTCTAATATCATCTCTATCATAGCTACTGTCACTACAACTCCATTGTTGTGAAGCCTGTTGTGAATTACTAAATGAATCTTTTTTCCCATTAAATTTATTTGGATCTAGGATGTTTTCAACTGAAAATGCTAATTTTTTTGATTCCTTATTAGTAGAGGTACTAGTTATAACAGATCTTGTTAAATCAACTGGACACACCTGCGTATATCAAATTATAAACAAGATAATTAATGTTATCAGTGATTAAGTGTTCATATACATTTATAATAGAATCAATAATTACATAAAATTAAAATTAAATAATTTTAAATATATTTAATTTAATATTTTCTTTCAGGGTTATTAATTTCTTTCTATTTTAATGCAATAATACGTTTGTTTGACTTGGTTTACGTAGGCGATGCAACACATCTGCCGCACCCCCAATTAGCAATGTGCCATTTTATTATCACGACACAAAAAACTTAATGAAATTTTGAACAAACTATTTAAACATAACGAATCGGTTGATTTATAATATGAAAAAATTTCATTAAAAAATTTAAAGCCTTATATAACTTTTAAATTGTGTAGCTTGCCTGCAATGTGCCCTTTAATTTTAAAGAGTCGCGTTATTGTTAGCTGAAATATGTACACATACTCCAATAAACTTCTTTAAAATATGGAAAAATTTTATAGAAAAAATAATGTTTTTTAAATTTTACATCCAAATATCTGAAACATCGTAGGCATAGTATTGAATCTTTTTAATAAAAGTGGTTTAAAACAAATGGTACAAATAAAACTTTTCTTATGATCTTTAAAAACTAAATACGTATATGCCATTCACAAATTTACCATAAACTTGATTAAAAAATCGGATACTTATCATTATAAAATATTTTTTATTTTGAGGAACTGTAGTGGATGGAAATGTTTCAAACTTCGGCAAATAGAACTTTTCCATTACCTTTCATTTTATAAAAGATTTTTATCCAATCCGATACAATATTTTATCCACTATGAAAAAGAAGCGAAGAAAGAAAATAATTATGATAAAAATAGACTTACCGACGGAGCTTCTTGTGATCGACTATCATCTTCTTCATCATTACCATCAACAATTAATTCTTCACTAGTATCACTTCTTGCATAATTTGCAGCTGGTAAACCACCTAATTGTATTCTAAATCCATAATCACTTAAATCTCTAGAATTAGTAATTGATCTAGCTGCAGCAGCGGCAGCAGCAGCAGCAGCAGCATTTGATGCTAATTTTATTCTTTCAATATCATTTAATTCATTTTCATTTGTAACTGATAATGAACGTAATGAATGTAATGAAATTTGTTGATTATCATTTGATAATTGTGATAATTGTTGTTCCTTATTAGTTTGTTGATGAATATGTTGTAAATGTAATGATATTAATGAGGTTGATGATGGCGGTAAATGTGATGTATTATGATGATTATTTTGTAATTGTTGTTGTTGTTGTGAATTTTGTGTTGTTTCATTTAATGGATGATTCTGTTTTAATACGAAAGGGTGTGGATGATAATGATGTGAATGTGAATGTCCACCAATAATTGCAGGTGTTATAAAATTATTATTATTATTATTATTAATGTTATTACCATGTTCGTTTGAATTATTTAATATTCCATTAAAACGTGTTGGTAATGAACAAGAATTCATATCACCAACATCTAAAATTTTATGACGATGTGGTGATATTCCATTTGTATTATTATTGTTACTATTATTATTACTATTATTATTAATTTTATTATTGCTATTTATATTACTGCCATCTATATTACTATTACTATTTTCGCTATTATTATCATTTTCATTTAAAATTGAATTAATATTATTGTTGTTGTTATTATTATTGCTGTTGCTGTTATGATTGCTATGATTATTACTATTACTATTATTGTTAATATTTTTATTATCATTTATATTATTAACATTTTTATTATTATTACTATTATTATTATTATTACATTTATTTTCTAATTTAAATTTCGTAATTGATTCATTCTCATTATTATTATTATTATTAATCATACATATACTGTGATCTGATAATTTTTGAAGTTTTAAATCATTATTAGATTGTTCATTTAAAATATTTGAATTTGTTGATGGATTTGTAATCGATTGAATTGATTCAGAAGAATTAATTCTTTGTGTTTTTGATATATTATTATCTTGACATAATGATGATTTATTTGTAATAATTGCAGAATCTGATGATAATTTCGATGTTGATGTTGAATTATGAAATATATCAATTTTATTATATTTCATATGACTTGATTCCGACGGTGATGTATTCGATTTTGGTGAACCCAAATTATAATTTGGACTTAAACGTGATGGATGTGAATCCGTTGTGTTAACTGACTGCATCATTACCATAGTTTATCCAATAATATGATTTTAATACAAATTCAGTATTTTTTTTAGTTCATTTATTTTAGAAAAAAAAAACAAAAAATGTTTTAATTAATCCGCACAGAAATTTTGAAATTTTTTACAAATTTTATTTTTTCACTAAAATTATAATTCGTTTTACTTCTCTCTTAAAATTTTTTTCTAAAACTTGCAATAATTTTTAATATCGTTTACTTAAATTAATTTTATAAGAATTCTAATAGAATTTCATAATTTTTTTTTCTAAACAAAATCAAATTATTTTCCTTTGAATTTTATTTCAGAAAATTTATTATCCGCTTTCCACAAATTTTCTTCACAAAATCATGTGTATTGCGCAAATATTTAAGTATAGCAGAAAAATACCAAAAAACAAAAAGGGATTTTTTAATTTTCCTCTCTATTTTTTATTTTCTATATGCGGCGCGCTTATAACGTCATGTTTTCCATTTGATACCAACCGATTGACTGTCTGAATACTTTTTTTTCATATTATTTTATCAGAGGGATCTATAAAAATCCATGCCATAATCTTTTGTATTTTAACATCCGTATACATAAATGTAACAAAATAATAATATACATTTACGTCTACGCGGGCTACGATTCACATATATATGAATCCATATACATGAATATTTTTATTCTTAATTGTATTTGTATATATATGCATAATGATTGTGTATATTAGTAATTTTAACATAAATAAATGCATATGTATATACATAGAAGTGTATAATAGTCCTTTATATTTTAAGGCAATTTTCCGTATGAATTGAGTTTTACATTTTAAATAATTTCAATATATAAGTACATGTATGTGTATGTATATATATGGTATATTTATATATAGATACTTGTGTATATATATATATATTTATTTTACTTGTAAAAGAAAAGAAAATGTGGAAAAATATCATGAAAAATTGAAACTTTAGAAAATTTTTTTGCGTTATTATTTTTTCGTTTTTTATTTTTCGTTTCTCATTTTGCTTAATGTTTTGGGTCCACCGCAGTATGTCGTAGATGTACGCATATAAATAGAATTGTAAATACATATATGGAATTAAATGTGAGCTCTTTTCTCGTTCCAACAATTTAAAATCGAGATAAAAAAAAAGAAGAAAATATAGGAAAAAAAAAAATTTTTTTTGTATACCCAATTTAATGTAAAAAAAAATTATAAAATTTTTTTGTTTCTACTTTTTAGTAGCTACTCTGTTCTTTTTTTCATTTTTAGTATCTAAATTTAAAATTTTCATCATTGTATAGAAAATTTTTGTGTACCTATACGTTTCTGTAAAGAAGAGAATAAAAAAAAAATTTTTTTATTCTTAAAATGTTAAAGAGAAAAAATTTCTATCCAAATTTTGATTACCTTTTTGTTTTTCATATAAAAAGAAAAGTGATAAAAATATTCTTTATTAATGAGTAAACGCCTTCCAATCTTATGACAAAAACACAAAAAATAAACTAAAATAAAAGAAAAAGGGATTTTCAGTTAACAGGAATAAATGAACGGATGTTCGTGTGTACCTAAACGATATAACCGTATTGTAACGTATATGGGTGTAAATGTATACTTAATTCACTCTATATATATACTAAATACTATATATATATCATTATATATATATGAAATGTTAAAACAGATTTTAAATAAAAGCGTAACCGTATAACGAGATATCATTTAATGAGCAATTGTCTCCTTCATTTATCTTTTAGTAGTTTTATCAGATATCCTTGCATATACCTAAATGTGATGATGTATATATATATATATATTTGTGCTCTCCTATTTGTATAAGAGAATACTGGCTTACATACACACACACACTTAAATGTATATTTATATGTATATAGTTTTATAAAAAAAAATTTTCTATGTACATAAGTTTTCAGGATCATTATGTTTCGTAAAAAAATAAAAATTAAAAATAAAAAATAAAAATAAAGAAGAAAAAATAATAATCAAAATGAAAGCAATATAAAGAAAGAAAATGGATCTGGGAAAAAGCATATTAAAAAAATAAGAAAAAAAAATTGAAAAGTTTTGTAGCTTTCTCTAAATTAATTTTTACTTTTTACGTGTTTTTCTTTTGTACTTTCCCTTGATTTTTTGCTATTTTCTTTTTTTATGTTCTTCTTCTTCTTTTTTCATTTTTTTTTTTTTTATTTATTCTCTTGGCATAAATTTTCTTTTATACTCCGCCTTTTCAAATGATTAATAACTTAATTTGTTTCCCCAATTTGAACCCACATTTCAATGATCGTTTTTATTCAGTCACTTTAATTTTTCTGTTATTGATATTTTTGCGCTCCCATTCCTCATTATTTTTTATTTTTTGTTTTTCAAAGAAATTGTTTTTCGAAAAAATTAAAAAAGAAAAAGAAATGAAAAGATAAAAGCTAAAAAGTGGAAAATTTTTTGAAAAAAAGAACAAAAAAGATGAGAAAAGAAGGAAGGATAAGGGATGGTTTGGTTGAACAATTTGACGTATTCGGTATACAGTACAATAAGGCGACGGAGTAGAGTAAAGGAGGGAAGAATGAAATTTCTGTTAAATAAAAATCATTTGTTTTGAAAGTTTTTCATTTTTATTTTTAATTTAATTTTATTTGATTGTTTTTTTTTTTTATTTTTATTAATTTGTCTTCTTCGAAGTTTAATCCATTGCTAAATTTTCCATTCTCTTTAGAGACAAAAGTTTTTGCAAAACTTATTTGAATTTTTTTTTAATTTTAATTTTTGGGGCTTTTCTTTGCAAAATACTTTTGAATTAGCGTTCATAATATTGTTAAAATTAAAATGAGAAACAACAAATTTTAATTTTCAAGGGGGATAAGTGAAATAATTTGGAATGAATGCGTGATATACTGAGGAGGGTGATTAACCAAAATTTAAAAGACTGAACATGATTTTTTTTTATTTTTTTAATATATCCGATGAAAAAAAGCAATTAAAACCGATATTCTTTGATATTGCTTTGAATTGTATAGAAAAATTTAATTTAATTGATATTTTTATTTAATCTTTTTCAAATTTAAATTTTAAGATTGGAAATTTATATTTATTTTTAAATTAATTAAAAATGCGATATGTCTGCGATTTTTTGAATTGAAATCGTATAATCAAAGAAAATTGAGGGTATTAGTAAAACAAATTTTAATGTAATTTCTTTAAAGTAAATTTAAATTGTTGCGCATTCGTTGAGAAAATTGTGCACTTGACATAAGCAATATTGAATGTTGGAAGAAATTTACCGCGAAATTTAAATTTCAATTAATGTGCATACTATTTAAAAAATTGTAAAATTTTGAAGAATCTATATACATACTTACGAATTCTTAATTCTATTTATGAATTTTATTGCATGATTCCAATATTGTCTTTGTCATTCTTCATCTTTGATCTCTGGCCATCTCAAAATTAATTCTTAATTGAAAAAAAGTGGGTTGTACTTGATATTGTCAGTACTTTATACTTGTTTCTTCGATTTTATTTCTACGATTCAAATGAAAATTTTATTAATTTTTTTTCTGAATTTTCTAATTCAGGAAAAGGAGTGTACCTATACGCGATTTAGATTCATAATTATGTGACAAACTTGAATTTGTATTACGTTTAAAGTATAGTCATTTTGATTCACGTAATACTGTTGCTTTCTAGAATCAACTATATCCAATAGTTTCGGCGATTACCATGTAGAAACACACCTTTTTGCTCTTTTCCTTATACGCCCACATGTACATATCTTGTATATTACTTTAAATAACTCATTCTTGAATCACCTCGCCTTACACAGCTTTATTGTTATTTAAATATTGTTTATAATGTGTAAAATTTAATTATTATTATTATTATAATCATTCATGTCAACAAAATTGACAATAACCTTCAGATTTTATATTTATTGATATTCATTCATTGGGCAATTAACCTTCATCTGTTTGTAGATTTTGGATAATCATAAAAATATTTTACTTTTTCAATTAAACACAAAAACTTCACATGTAATTCAAATTTCTAAAACATAATTAAAAATATTTTTCCTGATGGCCTCAATTATACTTAATTGCAATTATTTTTTGCGTTCCAAACAGTTTAGAACATATTATTTACGTATACTGCTTATGTACATATGTATGTATTTTTTTTTCGACTGGAATTCAAATTTTCTATTTAAATAAAAGAAAAACAGTACTAATGATTGACATGAAATTAAAGTATTAAAAAATATTAAATACAATAACTTTTAAAGTTGGCTACTAAGTTTTTTATTCAAAGGAATCTATTTAATTTTTCATAGATTTATAGTTTCTATATTTACTTGAATAATTTTTACAAAATTTAAGAGGTTAGAATTTTAGAATAAAATTTTATCCATATGCCGTAAACAGAATGTATAATTAGTAATCGAAATTTTCATAAGTATATATTCGAATATTTAATTTGAAAAATAATTAAAGATTATATGAAAATAAAATTTAGTTATATGTTGAGGCTTAATGAAGATATGGATAAGCCAACAGTTACAAGTACAAATCCTTTCAATTATAGCCCTTTTTTTTATAAATAATGTTTTTTTTTCTATGTTTAACATGAATTTAATTAACACAACTGGAATTCGATGTGTTTTAGATTATAAATAAAATTGTTTTTGCCTGAATATGTAAGCAACACTAACATTTCGAAAAATTAAAGTATACGCCTTAATTAAGGTGGACAAATAAGATATCTAAGATCATATGTATGCTAAGATCTGCCAAGTAATAATTAAATTTAAAGTCGTAAATAAAATTATGGTAAATAAACAAAAAAGAAAAAATTGTTTAATACGAATTTCAAAAAGAAAACTTCGCCTTAAATTTCAATATTAAAAGATTTTCCAAACAATAATTGATCGTACTCAAAATTTTTGTAAATTATTTTCTGTAAACTTTTGCTATTTCTTTTACACGCAATATACTTGGTAAATATGTAA